ATTTTAAAACCCCGGTATCGATCCCACAGGGAAGGTGAAAACCCATTTTATAGACTTAGTAAAATTTTACTTAAACTCCAGACAATTATCTAGAAAATAAGGTCGCAAGTTTATGTGTAAAAAGAAGTAACTAATACCTACTAATTCAGTTTCAAAACTTAAAGAAAATGCTAAGTGTTTCTAAACTAACTTTCCGTAGAAGAGTTCAAATTATATGAAAGTATTTCCCCTTGCAATGAGATCATAATCATTGTAGGAATCAAATGTTAAAATGTTTAAATGTAGTTTTGTGACAAATATAAGTCAGCTATTCTTTACCCACTTCGGAGCGCATAAAGAATATTGGTTAACCTAGAATTAGTTCCTAAATCCTTGGTTATGCTGGGTAGGTTGTATTTTGTCATTCTAGATTATCCACTGTGCCCACAATTTTTGGATTAACCTAGCCTTAAGTTTCAAACTCTAGATCAAATTAGTTAAGGTTCTAGTCTGCCACCCTAAAATTATCAATTTACACTGATCAAAACTTATCTTCCTATCTATTTGCACTAACATATGGACTACCTTATCACCCACTAGGTTGTAGTCTGCCACTTTAGATTACCCACTGTGCCCACAATTTTTAGACTAACCTAGCCTTAAGTTCCAAACTCAAGATCAAATTGGTTAAAGTTCTAGCTTGTCACCCTAAAATCACTAATTTACACTCATGAAATATCTTCATATTTATTTGCACTAGCCTATGGACTACATTATCACCCACTAGATTAATGTGACTCTTACTAGTTGAGGAACACATAGCCTTCTCGGGTCATTATGGATTCACAACAATTATTAACATATCAACTGGTCAAATTAAATATGTAAATTAAGTACGAAGTAATGAATCATCACAAATATGACAGAAGAGAAATCTTAAATAATTATAATCCGACACATGATTATTTCTTATTGCAATGAGAAAGATAAAAAAAAACTACTCATATTTCATGGGAATAACACAACAAAACATGATTTATATTAAAATTGAAGTTTATTTAGTAAAACATAACTCAAACAAAAAAAACAAAGTACTTATCTTAAACTTCTCCCCAAGAAAATTCTCTGGAGTTCCTTTGATGAATTCTCAACTCTCCTTACAATTTCACTCCAAGAGACGCACACACACACCCAAAGACTCTTACAACTCACCAAGAGCCCGACACACCACGACCATTACCATAACCATGACACCCTCCTTTTTGGCCTCTCTTGAGTCCTTTTATAACTCTCAAAATCCCCAAGTGTCAGGTCCCCTTTTAAATAAGCCTTGAAATCCCCAAGAGTCACTTCAGATGTCCTTTAAAATCCGTCCAAATTCAATGTATTTAGAAGAAAAGTGATTCTGGCGCCTAAGAGCCTAACTGTGGCGCCTAAGCGCCAGCCTTCTAGAAGTCTATATGACTATCTGGCGCTTAAGCATCAGATCTTTACAACATGGCGTCGGGCTCTCTGTTTCCACATATAGGGTCTGACACCTAGGCGTCAGTTCACTTTATGCTCCATTTGACCCCATTTTGCTCTGTCTTTTCTCCTTTTTCTCTAAAATTTTATCTTTTGTGTCTGAAACTAAAAACATGCAAAATATCTTCCTTTCAAGTGCAATTTCATTAAAAATGAGCAAAAAATGTATATAAAAATTAGCACATTTTTCATGTGTCAGAAGATCACCTTATGAATGTAAAAAGAACAACATTTTAGTTGAAAAATATTAACACTAATGAATAAAAAATTCATTGGAAAAAGAGCATGCAAAATATTGGACAAAGTCATATAATTGATATCCTTACTGTACTCTTACTAGCTACATGTTGTATTGTATCATCAACAGTTTGGATACTCTCTAGTTGTTAGGGGACTATAGAAAGAAAACTCTCTAATAACACCTGTCACATGTCTAAATGCACAACAATCTACCATTCATTTTGATGATCCTCTGATGGTAATAGAGGAAAGATCATGTGTATCACAGACACCTTTGTCAGAGTAAGCATAAGTGACCATGTTTAATATTGATGACGACTGATTGGAATCCTCCTCAGCCTCATCCCCTACTGCTTTTTGTTTCATCTTTAATAACTTCAGACACTCATAATCATCATTGGTAAACATTACACATGTCTCTCCGTCCTTTGTTACTATCATATTTTCCTAGTAACCCCTTTTCCACCTTTTCGACCACGACAACTATGACCACAGCCTCCACCTTATTCATTCACTTGTCTCTCTACGACAAATCTTGCTCAAATGCTCAACTTCACCACAACTGTAGCACTTGCGAGCCTATCCATGAACACCTATCATACTTGAGCTCAAGTCAATTAAAGTTGATCGCACACCCGGAAGTCCACTCAGCTCAGAGTGTGGCCTCACGCGACTCTCCTCCCGTATCATCGTAGCAATGACCTCATCCAATAAAGGGGATCGTCTCTCGAGCAAAAATGTTTGATCTCCTCTAATCAAAGATCGGGTTTAGATGGTCCATAAATTGCATAGTTCTCATCTATGTAAAAATCTCCCCTTTTTTGCACTTCGGATTGCCACAGCTCGACATCGGTAATAAGTGATCAAGATCTGCCCACAACCACTCTAGCACTATGAAGTACTTATGAATCAATCTATCACCCTAAACCACTTTCTCTATCTCACACAGAATCTGAAACTCCCTCATGTAGTTCTTAGCTCTAGCATAGATCTTCTTCTGCTTCGCTCAGATGTCAGACACCTTTTGAATGTCATCTACTGATGAGGCAAGCAATAAAACCATCGAGTTGAGTAACCAGGTGTAAAGCAAGGCATGTGCGGTTCTCCACTCATCCCTCTCAACACTGTCACTCTTTGGCTCGACCCTCGTCAGATATGCCTATAGTCTTTTCCTTACTAGGGCAACCTTGATCCACTTAACTAACTCAGATATTTGGTTGGTCCATCAAGTTTCAAATCCACATGAGAGAGATCTAGCATCGCCTATGTTGGAGTACCAGTTGAGGTAGCGGCTCTCATCGAGACACTATCTCTCTGTATGAGTCTGACCAAGACCTTCAGTAATTCACCTTGATCCACTTAACTAACTCAGATATTTGGTTGGTCCATCAAGTTTCAAATCCACATGAGAGAGATCTAGCATCCGGAGATCTAGCATCACCTATGTTGGAGTACCTATTGAGGTAGCGGCTCTCATCGAGACACTATTTCTCTGTATGAGTCTGACCAAGACCTTCAGTAATTCAGGATCTATCTTCCTTGGAAGTTCCAATCTTTTAACTCCTACACTATCTCCGTCTCCTAACATCCTCAACCACAAGAATGCAAGTCTTGATCACTCTTCCTTCTTGCAAGTTCATGCGATCTGCTTTGCCTTAGCTTGCACAGAGCCGCAACCTCTCTATCTTGCACGCAAAATTGCAATAGCTTCGATCCTTTGCTTCCTTGTAGTCGAGTGGAACACCAGAAACGAAAGCTCTACTCCGCTGCCTTCCTCACTCCCAAGCTGCACGCAATATCGCACAAGCCCTACTTCCTTGTGTCACAATTCCACATCATCTCTCACAGCTAAAGCCCCCTAGAAGGCAACGATGGGATTGTGTACGAAAGACCACCAAAGCAGCTCCCGCCTCCCTGCGTATGAAGCCTCTGTTAGCTCTAACCGCAATTGCTTTGAAGGATCAAAGCGAAAAACTGGGAGTTTCAGGTCTCTTTATGCTGATCCAGACATTTGTATGTCAATCACGACCGTATACCAGGAAAACTGAGACTTTTGGGTCACTTTACGTTGATCCGGGTATCTATACGCCAATCTCGAACAAATCGAGCAGTCCGCCCGCTGCTCCACGGGGACTACGCCGAAGGAAGAGAAATCGAGCAGCAAACAACTAAAACTCTAATACCAAATTGAAAAATTGCTCTCAAAAAATCGAGCAGTTCGCCCACTGCTCCACGGGGACTACGCTGAAGGAAGAGAAATAGAGCAGCAAATAGCAAAAACTCTAATACCAAATTGAAAAATTGCTCTCAAAGTCAAATCTGTACATTCATAACATAGGCTTAAACATGTTATTACAATATTTTACAAATAAACCGGTAGAATTCTTCAATATTGCCTTTTTACCAATTGAAATGAATAAGAATTAGGTGATATGTAATGTAAATATGTACATTCATAACATGGGCTTAAAGATGTTATTACAATATTTTACAAATAAACCCGTAGAATTCTTCAATATTGCCTTTTTACCAATAGAAATGAATAAGAATTAGGTGATATGTAATGTAAATTTCCGGCTATTTCACTTTTTTTTTTAATTTTAGCATAATTCCTGCATCCAAACGAGTCAAATCTTTTTAAACAAACATATAAAATAATTTCTTTGACAAAAAATTACCCAAAAATAAAAAAATTAAAATAGCCCAAGTCGCCCTAGATGCTATCAATTCAGCGAGTTGTTATAAACATAATTGTTAAAAAAGATTGTTTTAAGAATTTCACCTACCATGGAGCGCTCACCTGAGAGAGACTAGCACAACTGATCCTCCAGCTGTTGCGTCCCAGCATAGGCCTCTTCACCTTCTTCAACTCAACTCCTCTCGCTTTCAGACTTCACGATCTCCTTTCAAGCTGCCAACACACAACGAAAAGAAATCAAATCAGAAATCACAAAACAAGGAAAAAAAAAAGTCTACGAAGCCTTGATCAACAAGGATAATTGCTCTGATATTCTTCAATGAGTAGGTTCATCAACAAATATAAATCCTCAATTGCTGACGAAATAAATACATTATCCTACTAATTCTGTTCATATTGTAGTCATTCTCCCTCAACCTTTCTCAATATGTCAACGCATGGCTCCCTTCTTCCTTTCCTTCAACAAAGAACGGTAGGAGAGACAAAGCAGCAATTACACGCCATCTTAAGCACCCGAAGAAGAGAGAAGGAGAGGGAGAGGATACCTTCTTCGTACTATTATCTTTATCTGCATAACAAATCATGATCTTGGTTACTAATCTGCAGAACTTAAACAGCAGGAGGAGCAGCTTCTATGTCTTCTTTCTCTCCCACCTTATCCTTATCATTCTCCTATTACTTCCTATTCCCCATAATGGCTGCTCGCCATCAGAGAGGGACTCTCTACTACAATTTCAATCAAAACTTACCTTTAGCTTCAATAACAGTAGTCTCAGCTCTTGGGTTACAAGTAAAGACTGTTGTGAATGGGAAGGAATCTCATGTGATCAAAACGGATTGGTTACTGAAGTTTCTTTACCACTCGAAGGCCTTGGAGGAAGCCTCTCCAGTTCTCTTGCAGGTTTGCCTCATCTCACTAAGCTAAATGTCTCGTATAATCGGCTCACAGGCAACCTGCCTACTGAAATTCTGTCATCACCAAGCCTCATCATCTTGGATGTCAGCTTCAACCGTCTCTCCGGTCAATTATCAATATCACCTATGGGAAACAAATTCTCCTTGCAGGTTTTTAACCTGTCAAGCAACTCTTTCACTGGCCCTTTCCCTTCTCTGGGAAGTCTTGCTGAATCTCTTGCTGCAGTAAACGTTAGCAATAACAACTTTTATGGCTTATTTCCATCCTATATCTGTAGTCTATCTCCTGTTCTCAGATCAATGGACTTGTCTCACAACCAATTCAGTCTTGAGATTCCCACAGGATTAGGCAGTTGTTTGCTGCTGACAGAACTTCAAGCAGGCAACAATAATCTTTCAGGGCCAATTCCGCAGGATTTGTTCGATATGACCTCTATGCAACGCCTTTCGTTACCTTTCAACCAACTCTCGGGGAATATTGATGGCAAACTTATTACCAAACTCGTAAATCTGGAATTCTTTGACCTTAGCTGTAATCAGCTAAGTGGAAAGCTTCCAGCCTCAATCAGTCAGATGACATCTTTGGAGCAGATTGTCTTATATGGGAATCAACTAAGCGGAGCGCTGCCTCCAGAATTAGCCAGCTGCACCAACCTCAAGATTCTGAATCTCAGGTTTAACAATCTCAGTGGTGAATTGGCTGCAGTTAACTTTTCTGGTCTCTCCAATCTTAACATGCTTGATTTAGGGAATAATGAGTTCACAGGAGATATACCAACAAGCTTGTTCTCATTGAAATCTCTTAAAGCACTACGTCTGGCTAAGAATTCGCTGAGAGGAGAGATAGATCCAGCAATGGTGAATATGCAAGCCCTAACCTACCTTTCACTTTCTGGTGATGGGCTCAGAAACATCACAACTGCGCTCCAGATACTTAAAGATTGCAAGAACCTTACAGCCATAATCCTCTCAAAGAACTTCGTTAGAGAAGCCATACCTACAAATACAGAATGGGCGGGCAGGTACTTTCAGAATCTTCAAGTCCTGGGTCTGGGTGGCTGCCAGCTGACTGGCCAAGTTCCTCTCTGGTTATCCAACCTCAGCAACCTCTTGGCGCTGGATTTATCAGGAAATCAGCTCACAGGTCCAGTTCCCGCCTGGTTGGGCTCCTTGCCTTACCTCTTCTATCTAGATCTATCAGGGAACCTTCTCTCTGGAGAGATCCCACCAGAACTTACAGGACTTCATGCATTGACGATGGATCAATTTGAATCCCGAATAAATCAAGGTATTCTACAGTTTCCAGTCTTTATCAAACCTGCTAATGGATCAGGTTTGCAGTACAATCAGTTGGCAGAGCTTCCGCCAGCAATATATCTTCAAAACAATACTCTCCACGGCTTGATACTCCCACAAATTGGTCAGCTGAAAAATCTTCATGTGCTTGACCTTAGCCACAACAATTTCTCCGGAAACATCCCAGTGGAAATTTGCAACCTCACCAACTTAGAAAAACTGGACCTCTCCACAAACCAACTCAATGGAGAGATTCCTTCCAAGCTGAACAGCCTACACTTCCTGGCGTCATTCAATGTGTCCAACAATAATTTAGAGGGGCCAATACCATCTGGCGGTCAGTTTGATTTATTTCCACTCTCCAGCTATGAAGGAAATCCTAGACTGTGTGGAGCAATTCTCCTCAATCATTGCTCCAACCATTCAGGAAATGATGATTCTCCAACAAAACATATGAGCAAAAAACTCCTCATTGGTATGACATTTGCCATCTGTTTTGGTGGGGCTTTCATCCTAATCATGTCTGCTTTCACCATACTGTACATAATAAATGCACAGAAAAGAAAGTATGCTCGTACTAATAAGGTAAAATTTATTGCAACATCTGTAAGCTCATTATCCAGCCTTCCATCTGATGACTCCGTCTTGGTCATGATGCCAAATCCAGTAGACTCAGCCAAGAACAACCTTTCTATGTCTGACATCTTGAAGGCTACAAATAATTTCGACCAGGAAAACATAATTGGTTCAGGGGGATTTGGGATGGTTTACAAGGCCACAGTGGCAGATGGCTCCAAGCTCGCAATCAAGAAATTGTCCAGTGACATGTGCCTCATGGAAAGGGAATTCAGAGCAGAGGTAGACGCTCTTTCCAGGGCCCAACACAAAAACCTGGTGTCCCTGCAAGGTTACTGTATGCATGGAAGCTCATGGCTACTTATCTATTCATACATGGAGAATGGCAGCTTAGATTACTGGCTACATGAGATGGTAAATGGCACTTTAATGCTAGATTGGCCTACAAGGCTAAAAATTGCACAGGGAACAAGCCAAGGCCTGCGCTACATCCATGAGATCTGCCAACCACATATTGTTCATAGAGATATCAAGTCCAGTAATATTCTTCTTGATGAACACTTTGAGGCACATGTTGCAGATTTTGGCTTATCACGCTTGATCCTTCCATACAACACACATGTGACGACCGAGCTAGTTGGTACCTTAGGCTACATTCCCCCAGAGTATGGACAAACATGGGTTGCCACGTTGAGAGGGGACATCTACAGCTTCGGTGTTGTGCTTTTAGAGCTTCTCACTGGAAGGCGTCCAGTTGAGCTTTTCAAGCCCAAGGAGTTTGCAGAACTTGTGGTTTGGGTGAGAAAAATGAGATCTCAAGGGAAGCAGGATCAGGTTTTTGATCTCCAGCTAAAAGGAAAGGGGTTTGATAAGCAAATGCTGAAGGTTTTGGATATAGCTTGCATGTGTGTTAATGAAAATCCACTCAAGAGGCCCACTATCAGTGGAGTAGTAGCCTGGTTAGAAAATGTAGGAGCTGACTTGCAAACAAAGTAATGGTTTAGTTCCTGTAAGTTATACTGCAAACTGAAATCCACAGTAATTTTAGAAGATGTCACATTAGCATAAAAATTATGGAGTGTATATATCAAAAAAGGGCAGTCCTTAGTTTTAATATGTTTAATTACAGTTAAACTCACATCCCAAGTCTATCACAGATAGGGCTAGAATTTTAGTTCGAATATCAAAATCTTTCAAAGATTGAATTAGTTTTTGGCTCAAAACTAGTTTGAATTTAACGATTTGAGTTCAGACAGAAGCTCAATTTTTGGCTCGGTTTGCTCTTCGAGTAAATTTTAGCAGGCTTCAATTTGATAGAGCCAACTTGAGATCATGTCAAAATATAAATAGTATGTATAAATTTGTGTATGTGGTGTGTTTCTGTCTATATATATATATATATATAGACACACACACATACATGACACAACAAAATCAATCAATTAAGCATGAATCTTGATGCAATATTTGAGTTGAAAGCTTAAGGGATTAAATTCATGATCAACCAAATTTCAGCAAATATGTGAACTAAACATTTTAGCGAAATGAACCTAATGATATTAAAAGGGATTTGATTCAAATGAGTCAAAATCAAGTATTTTAAGTGTAGTTATAAACCTTGTGAAATTAGTTGAATGATCAAACGAACTCTGAATCGCACATATCTTTTCCACATATTAAAATCACATACACACCCGTTTATACTATACCTTAAACTCTAGACCTTGTGGTTAGCGAGCCAAACATTAACCAAAATGATTTGCACGATTGATCCTTCAATTAATGACCCTAAGTTTCCAACATAGTTCAAATATTTGATTTGAGCTTTAATTGGACTCGGTTAGATAACTTTTAGTGTTATTGTTGTCTAATCAAGGCTCTAGCTTGATTATGAATTTATCAAAATTAAGGGTTAAATGATAAACAAATGCGAAAAAGAAACCAATATGAGTGTCTCAATTAGAGGAATCAAACAAGCTCAATATCACTCAATCTCAAGGTCAATAATGCACTTAAATACTTAAAAGATGATAGATAATGTTATTACAGGTGGTTCGATAGAGTGTTTTTGGTAGTTTGGATAAAATTACTAAAATAGTGTCAAAGAGAACTATATCCAAGTTCTTCACATTAAGGTGGGCAAAGATCTTGAATTAGAATTAGAGAGCTAGAACACTAAAGCTCCATCAGATGTGTAATGCCAATAATCACAACCAACAACTTTAATTGCTCGATTACAGTCTTTGACCTCCTTTGTCTGATTATAGTCTCCTAAATATCGTTTCTAGACAATGATCTTGCGACCAATATCGCTTGAGTATAATTTCTTCATGATTTTCGCTTGATTAATGTCTTTTAACCACCATCATTGACCACTGTCACGTGACTATAGTCCATTGAACACCATCATCTAACTATAATAAACAGGTCAATGTTGTTCAACTACGATCTTCAGTCCAACGTTGCTTCACTATACTCTCTTGACCGTCACTATTTGGCGATAATCTCCTATTTTTTGTTACATAACTATCACTCTCTTCTAACTTTATTGTATGCCATCACAGAAAATATCGTCTCGCATCATTGCTTATATGGATGCATGTCATCGACATAAATGTTGGCGCTCACTGACTTAGCTTCATGTAGTTGCCAACAAAATTGGTCCACGTCATTACCTATAAGGCCAATGCATGAAGTTGACATAAATATTGTTACTCGCCGGCTTTATCATTCATTCTCACAAAAAAAAATAATGTATATTGTTATCTAAAAGATTGATAAATGCTTATAAGATCAATCTATTGTATTAAAAAAAAAAAAAGACAATGCTCGAAGACTTTTTTTGCCCCTGCCCACCAACTTCAATGAACAACATCAAAAGTAAGATTGAAGCATGCCATCAACACATACAATGACGCTCGTGAAAATCATCACTCACTATTGACAATAACATTCATGCACATTATCACAAAAAAAATTGATGCATACTATTGACACCAACTCCGACTCTTAATGTCAACACCAAGATTTATATTAGATTTCTAGGTTTGTATTCTCTTCTCCTCAAAGAAGATTGATTAAACATATACCATAAAAGTCCTTTGACAATGACTTAAGGCTCCTCCAATTTTCATCGTGAAATTCATCCATAGACCATGTCTGATATATTCTATCAATATCTTCAATAATTATTGGAAGATATCATTGTCACTAACAACAAAATCTAGTGCAATCATTTGAATTGGGCCATACCCAATGCATTTTTCCATTTTCTAATTTTTCATGCAAAAAAATTGGTGTTTTATACAATCAACTTTTATATGTCTGCATGTTGGATCTTCACTCAAAACTAAAACTAAAACAATCTATATATATGTGTGTGTGTGTGTGAGAGAGAGAGAGAGAGATAACATTACCGTATATGTATGAGTGTAGCTGTCTATACTTAACTAAGATTTTTTCCTAAAATATTAAAAACTAATTGAGATTAGATTGATTTTTCATTTAAATGAAACTCAAATTATTTTTAACAAGTTGTGTCTAGATTGAATTTAGATATAATCGACATCAATTTGAGCCAAGTTTTAACTAGAATTGACTAGCTCATGATTAGATCAAATGATTTGAGTTGATTTTGATGCGGGGTCCAATTAGCTTAAAACCAAATCTTATGCTACCCTAATTACACATATGAAAAAAATATTAGATAAAAGATACATCATCATAATAGCTAAATGGTAGAAGTAGTCGAAAGTAAAAACAACTTTATAAATGATGCAATCAACACTAATTAGGTAGTACATGGAGCTAAGAAGAAAGCATTAATCATAAAAAATCTCAGCACTACAATAAAAAAGGCCATACTAACTAACATGGTATTATAACAAATTAGATTACGAGAATAATGTACAAAAAATAATCAGCATTTAAACCAACATAAAAATTTAATGTTGTCAAAAAATTTAAAAAAAAAGAAAGAATAATGCAAGCATGTAATAAAAGACTTATTAAAATGATTTCATACGTAACAAAAAAAAGGTTCACCACTATGTAGATAAGAATGTATATATATAAACAACAAGGAATTAAACATAATTTTTCAACACTAAGAACTCTACAACAAAATAGAAAGAGAACGAGAAAAATTTTAGTTGGCATGGCTAGAACTATGTTAAATAAATCTAATTGACAAAAATATTTGGTAGTATACAATCAACACAATATACTATGTCATCAACATGGTAAATTTAACATATATATTAAAGAAAACTCTATATGACTTTAGAGGAAAGAAACTCAAAATTTCATATTTTCATGTTTCCGGTTGTCCTTATTATGGATTAATTAATGGAAAAAAATCAGTTAGGAAAATTTGAAAGAAAAAAATGATGATGCAAACTTCCTTGGATATTCATCTCAGAGTAAAGTGTAAAGAATAGTTAACAAGTGAATTATGATTGTAGAAGAATCAATACACATTGATTTTAAACTAAACCTGAATGCAATAAAAAAGAAGTTGATGTTGATGTTGATGATGATGAAAATGATATGATTAAAAAAATTAACTAAAATGATCCGAATGATAAGAAAATTAAAAGTTCAGATCTCCTTAAAGAATGGAAGTATGCAAAGAATTAATCATAGGAGATCTTGCTCAAGGCATTGGCACAAAAGTAAAATTATAAATGAAATTAATCACCGTGCATTTCTTGTTGAAATAAAACCAAAAAATATTGATGAGATACTTAATGATGATTTTTTTGCCATAGCCATACAAGATGAATTAAATTAATTAAAAAGAAATAATATTTCGAAATTAGTCTCAAGACCCAAAAATCATAATGTAATTAGAACCAAATTGGTCTATAAGAATAAACTCAATGTCTTATGTGACCAAATAGAATTGATAGATTTTGAAGAATCTTTTCCATCAGTAACAAGACTTGAAGCTTCTATGTTACTCCTAAATTTGCATTTCAAAAGGACTTTAAACTTTTTCAATTAGACGTAAAATATGGATTTTAAAATGTTTTATAGATCATAATATTTTTTGTAGAACAACCTCTGAGAATTGAAGATATTGATCACTCAAACTATGTTTTAAATTAAAGAAAATTTTATATGGATTGAAACAAGCTCCTAGAGCCAGGTATGATAGGCATAATTTTTTTTTTGATAAAAAATTTTAATAAAGAAAGAGTAGACAACACCATAATACAACAACAACAACAAAGCCTTAATCCCACTTTGGAGCCGGCTACATGACCCTTTTTCTCCATTGCATCCTATGCAGTGTCATATTTTCATTTAGTTCTAATAAATTAAGATCATTTTTAAATCCAAGTCTTCCTAGGTCAACATCACCATCTACTTAAAAAAAATAGGAGTTTATAATATAACAATTCATATTTATGTAGATGATATTTTATTTGGAAACTCAAATAAATCATCATCATGAACTCTTATTAATGATGAGTAAATAATTTAAAATGAGTATGTTGGAAAAATTCAACTTCTTTTGGGGGCTTCAAAAGAAGCAATAAGAGAAGGAGTGCCTTTATATCTCAAATTGAATGCTCAAATGATTTGCTTGAACAAATTGAAATGTTAAATCTAGTAAGAAGTACTAGCAATAGGCATGAGCTCTAAGCCACAAACAATAGCCATAAGAACTCCTTCAATTTGAAATCTATCACTCTAAGAAGAAATTTTAGGAGCTCAAAAACTAATGCTAAGCTTCACATTAGCAATATAGAATTCTTTAAAGGTTTTCATTTTTGTAGTTATTTAACAAGCAATATAAAAATGTTAGGCTACTTGATATAATCCTCCAAATTGATAACAAGGCTTGAGATTCCGTAGTTAAAACACATAAGAAAACTTAAGGGTGTCATAAATAAGACTGTAGGAAAAAAAAAATTAGGAAAATATTATTTCAGATTAATTATATGGTTAAGTCAAACAAAATATACTTTACAAGAGGCCTGGGCATTGGATAAAAAATGATGGAGGAGTTCATGATCTCATCCATGTGGTACAATACTAGGAAAGAACAAAAAAGACAATAAAAAATAATAAAGAAGAGCAAGATGAAGGTGCAGCAGTGAGCAGAATAACAGGTTTACATTAAAGTAGAAGTTGGATTCCCCCCTGGCTAAAGGATGAAACCTATGTTCAGCACTTTAAACTTCAAAGTCTTTTCTGTTTGTGGTTCCTCCATCGGCTTCATTTTTGGTGGATTCAATCCAATATTAAAATGCTTCTTTTCGTTAAAATCAAATATCAAACCAAAAATCACTCCTCTGTTCGTTAACTATTCTAAAAACAAAACCACCTCATTTCTTCCACTTCGCTGCCTCACCTTTATCAAGCACATTAAACCAAAAGCTTAGCAAAAAAGATAATTATCAGGTCACAAACTTGTTAAGAATCTCCCAATTCAGTATGCGGATTCGAGAACCAAGCATGAACATAAATCATCAATCAGAAGGATATTACCAAATGGATAAGTACGCGATATAAGAAAACCTGACAATTTTCCTCATTTCTTGAACACATTATGTTTCTTGAGGTTTTGGGGAAGGATTGAAAGAGATTGAACCCTAACTCTCACTGAAAATTTAACTACTGAGATTCAAGGTGCAGGTATATCGTCATTATCTAAACAATGAAACAAGCTGATCAAATGCGATGCAAGCGACACGAATTAAAACGTCAACAAAGAAAAAGGACCCAAAAGTTTCAGGTGATCGGGTGAATTAGTTTCATCATAACTCGTTCCGCCGGAGAAGAATGTTCAGTAATTGGCTAAAAAGGCAAGTTGACGGCTACATTGCATACCTACCAAAGCTCACTCCGGTACGAGAAGAGCTGAAGCAGCAAACTTCCACCATAGTCGCAAAAAACAGGGGAGGTCGAATAATGAAGAAAGCCGCGACGCATAGTATACAAAATGCGTTCATTTCTACATCTTTGAACATATCTTCTTCAATGTTTTTAAAAAACCGGAGATTTTCATACATATCACTTAATTTCTATGTATTTACAAATCTAACATTTAAATTTAAATTTTTACATATATGTCATCTTAGTTGTAGGAGTGTAAACGAGCCGAACCCGAGCAAGCTCAGGCTCAGTTCGTGTTCGGCTCTTTTATATTTCGAGCTCAATGAGCCGAACACGAGCTATTCATTTGCTTAGCACGAGCCATTCACGAACAAAGAATTGTTTTGACAACCCTAATCAAGTACCCATAAGATGTTTGATTGGGTCGAGATTTAAAAATTATTATTTATATTAAAACATCATTTGAATCTAATTTAATAATTTTTATTCTATTTTCTTAATTAATACTTATAATTAATTTTATATATATATA